CATTAAGTCCTCTAATGCAAATTCAAGAATAATTTCTTCTTATATTTTTATTATTTCTCTTCCATTTGAATTGAAGATCCTGGAAAGCAGATTTCTTGTGTGTCTGGGTTTTCCTGAATTCCCTACTTTTAACATAATTGCTGATATACGCAAAGTACTAGTTTAATTTGTTGAAAATGGACAGATAATCATGTAGTAAAGAAGGAGGAAAAATTGGGAACTGCAATTATAATTGTTTTGGAAGAAGTCTACGGAGACAGAATAGTTTACTATACTGTCCAAATCTGAAAGAAAATATGACTGAGTTTAATTATTGGCAATAGGGAATCACCAGAGTCAAATAAAATATTAAGGCAGACCTATTAGTATTACACCAGACTTCTCAATGGAAATTCAAGCCAGATAGTCTTACAGACTCTAAGAGAACACAGATGGCAGCCCAGACTACTATACTCAGAACAACTTTCAATCACCAGAGATGGATATTCTATGACAAAGTCAAATTTAAACATTTTTATCCACAAATTCAGCCATTCAGAAGATATTAAAGGCACACTCCAACCCAAGGAATTTAACTACACCCATGAAAACACCGGAAATATGTAACTTCATGCCAGAATATGAAAGGAAGTGAAGCACACACACACATATACACACACACACACAGACACACAACCTAACAACAACAAAATAAGAAGAATCAACAATCATTGGTTACTAATATCTCTCAACATCAATGGACTCAATTCCCCCAATAAAATGGCACAGGCTAACAGAAAGGATTAAAAACAGGATCTGAGGGCTGGATGTTGGTGGCATGTGCCTTTAATCCCAGCACTCCGGAAGCAGAGGCAAGTGGATCTCTGTGAGTTCAAGACCAGCCTGGTCTACAAGAATTAGTTCCAGGGCAGCCTCCAAAGGCAAAGAGAAACCCTGTCTCGGGAAAAAAATAAAACCAAACCAATGTCCATCCTTCTGCTGCATACAGGAAGCACACCTCAACATTAAAGATAGAAATTACCTCAGAATAAAGGGTTGAGTAATGATTTTCTGACAAATGGTCCCAAGAAGCAATCTGGTGCTGCTATACTAATACCTAGCAAAATAGACTTCCAGCCAAAATTAATAAAAAAGAGAAGAGGAATGACACTTCATACTCATCAAAGGAAAAACACACCATGATAACTTCTTACTTCTTAACATCTATGCCCCAAATGCAAGGGCAATCACATTTGTAAAAGAAACCTTACTAAAGTTTAAACTTGCATATTACTAGTGGAAGAATTAAATACCCACTCTCATCAATGAAAAGATCATTCAGGCAAGAAATAAACAGAGAAATAATGGAGTTAGCAGAAGTTGTTAACCAAATTGACTTAACAGATATCTATAAACATTTCACCCAAACACAAAAGAATATACAATCTTCTCAGAACCTCACAGAATTTTTTCCAAAATTGACTGTTTACTTGCTTATAAAACAAGTTCCAAGAGATGCAAACAAATTTAATTAACTCCCTGTGTCTTATCAGATCACCAAGCATTAAAGCTGGATTTTAACAACAAGAGAAAGCCTACAAACTTGTGGAAAATGAACAACTATCTACTGAATGATTACTAGATTGAAGCAGAAATAAAAAATAAATTAAAGAATGTAACATGCAGTTTTCCTTTTCCAGCTGCTTTGGTTTTTCACTGCCAGCTGCTTGGGCTTTGCCACAGTTGTGGTCCCCAAATAACTCACAGGAGGCAATATTAATTATGAAGCTGTTGGCCATTTGCTTGCTTCTTACTAGCTAACCCATAATTTTTAATTTAAGTATTTCTCTTATCGGAGAAAAAGGTCTGGACATCTTACTTTTCTGGTGGGCTACATTGTCTCTTCCCTGTCTCTCTTTCCCAGAATCCTCCTCAACTCCTAGTCCCACCTATCTTGCTTCCCCATTGGCCAACAGTGCTTTATTGACATATACGCAGGACTTCCCCATCAAAAGACTTCCTAGAATTCAATGATAATGCATGCGCAACATATCTAAACTTATGGGACACAATGAAAGGAATGCTAAAAGAAAAGTTCATAGACTAAGTACAGACATAAAGAGTTTGGAGAAATCTCATTCTAGTGACTTAACAGAACAAAAAGGAGCAAGCTCATCAAAGAGCAGTAGAAAAAAAAGAAATAATCGAATTGAGGGCTGAAATAAATAAAATAGAAACAAAGATCACAAAGAGGGATGCTCTCTTAGCCTAGTCTCTTAGGGGAGTGCCTGGCCCCTACCCTGAGTGAAATGACAGATTCTGGATATCCCCTATGTGGAAGGACTGGGCAATAGGGTGGGAGGCTGGGGGGGAATGGGGAGTGTGGGAGGAGGGGAGGGAGAGGGAACTGTGATTGACATGTAAAACAAGATATTTAAAATTGAAAGAAAAAAAGAACAGGGCTAAGGAATGTGCCTCCAAGATTTGGAAAGCAGCTGAGGTCAGTCATATATCAGGTATGTACCTGTGTGGAGGCCCATAGAAGCAATTGTGTGAAGCTGTAAAGTTGAAGCTTGGATTGTCTTTGAGACCCCCAAGATGTTAGAGATCACAGAGTCATGAGATATGGGCAAAGTGAGTTACTAAATCTCAGTGGAACCAGCCAAAGAGAGAGAAGTATGTTGCAGTCACCAAATAATGAAAGGAGTTGAAGATAAGGAGAGCATTTTGGCATCAGACATGGGGATGCAGAATTTGGAGTTTTCCCAGCTCATTTTTGGTCTTGTTTTGGCCCGGTGTATCCTCACTATCATCCATTTCCTCATTTTTGGAATGGTAATGTATATCCTATGCCATTATATGTTGGAAGCATATGATCTTGAATTTACAGGGATTACAGTTAAGACATTGCATGAATCTCAGAAGAGACTTTGAACTTTAGAGTTTTAAATAAGTTTGAGACTCATAAACTATGGGGAGTTTCGAATTGGAACTGATTGCATTTCTACATTATGATATGCTATAAGTCTTTGGAGACCAGTGAATGGAATGTGATAGTTTGAAAGAAAATGGCCCACAAAGGGATTGGCAAAATTGGGAGGTGTGGCTTTGCTGGCGTAGGTGTGGCCATGTGGGAGGAAGTGTGTCCACTGTGGGGATGGGCTTGTAATATCCTTTGCTCAAGCTATGCTCAGTGTGGTATACAGTACATTTCCTGTTGTCTTCAGATCAAGATATAGAACTCTCAGCTTCCCCAGCACCATGGTATATATTGTGTGTGTGTGTGTGTGTGTGTGTGTGTATGTGTGTGTGGTCATTCAACTGCACATATGTTCTTTCTACTTAAATATGAATATACTAAGCAAAACCTTAAAAAAAGAAAATTATTTGATTTTTGGGGTATAGGAACAAAGATTCAAACTAAAAAAGAAAAACATTACTGACAATTGTTAACCAAGTATGCCCAATAGAAATGAAAAGTTGAAGTCTACATAACAGAAAGATGTTAACAAAAAATATACCATCCCCACAGTGGAGTATTAGTTTATTTTTGTATAGGAATTACAGAAGAATAAATATTAATGCTAATTAAGTCTTTACAAAGATGCCAAATTAAATAATAGTAAAGGAATTCGTTTACTAAAACACTTAAAATATGAAGTACTGTAGAAATGAGTAACAAGATTTCTCATATGCAGAGGATGTTAAATGATGAAAACATTGGAAAATACATGTAGAGGTTTAAATATTTCCTATACAATTATCAATTATTTCTTCTTCTAGTATATATTTTATAACATAGCTTCTTAATTTGTGAGTGATTACATTTGGTCCTTGTAACTAAATGTGAGCATCATTAAATAATTGAAAAAATCAAGGAGGTTTTTAAATATGCAGTAATAAAAATCTTTTTGCAATGTTCCCTCAGTTATGGTCACTTCATTGTGATCTTGTTTGAAAAAGTGTGGTTTCAGAATTCGGTGGTGTCTGCTCTCATGTAAACACAATGACTGATTGATGAAAAACAATGACTTAATAGTAGGTTTATGTATTTTGATTTTCTGTTTTTTGCCTTCATGTTTGTATGCACCTGTCTGGTGCTCATGTTGGTACCAGTGAAACTGTAGTTTCAGATGTTTTATGAGCTTCCGTATGTGGGGTCTAGGAATTAAATATGGGTTTTCCAAATGAGCAGGAAGTACTTTTAACCACATGCCATCTTTGCAAGCCATCATGGAAAACAAGGATGTTTAGTATTAACTATCATTATTTAACATAGTAATATAAAATTATTTTTGTATATCTTCAGAGTATTTCATGCTAGAATGATTGTTTTTAAATTGTTGTTTGAATTAACTTTCATTTTAAAATATAATTAAATTAATTTTGGCTTGGGAGTAGGATAGAAATTCTAACAAATTTTGAGAGCCATAAACATGCTACTGTCATTTTGTACTAGGTATTTAATGTGAAGGAACATTGCCAGCATCAAGTATAATAAAATAAAATATTAGCCAGCTCCAAATAGGATTGAAAATTCTCTAGGTCTTATAATATCAAATTTTCATCCATGAGAATTTATACAAAATATATAAGTGTACCCAGCCATTATTGTACACATTTTCTTTGATATTTGCAAGGGGGAGAATCAGATTCATTCTAAATCAAAATGTACTCCAAATAAATATTTATCATTTATTTTCTTAAAATATTGGTATATATATATAAATTTTACACATCAATATGCCTGGGAACATCTAAGATTTTCTTGGGTGAAAGCAGTTATGAGTGAATAATGTTGAAGGAGCCCTTTGCTTGGAATCATTTGCCTGAGTGTAAAGAAACAAGTATAAAAACATTCACTTTATCCACACTTGAAATGAAAAAAAGCTAGAAACAAGCTAAATGTCCTTTCACCAATAATGGTAAACATAATATTTATGTAACACTCTCCCACACAGCTCTATGAGTTATTAAATTTGATTTATGTATATCAGCTTTAGGTTGCTTTTCTTATATTTAAAAATATGAAAGATTTCATGAATTTGTATGTCATCATTTCACAGAGGCCATGTTAATCTTCTCTGTATTATTCCAATTTTAGAATACGTGCTGCCAAAGTAAGCACACTTACTGTGTTTTCAGCACTTATGTTCACTTATGCAGCTAAATATAAACCTAGTGTTTATATCTTAATTACAATTAAATTTCCATAAATATGTAACTTGATTTTTCTGTTTGATTTTTTTATATATGGTAAGTAAATCACGATATATTATATAAAATTTTAAATCACATAAGTCAGTTTTCTACTTTAGTAAATGGTGAAAACCAACTCAGTAACCACAGAAACAAAACATAAATATTCCATTTAAGGATTTTGGTGGAAATTGGAAAATTGAGTGAATTAATGAAATGGGAAAGAGGTACAGACTTAAATTAATCTCATCTTTAAGGTTTTATTTCTTTGTGTTTGCCTGTGTACGTGTGTTTGTGTGTGTGTGTGTGTGTGTGTTTGTATGTGCATGTTTGTATGTTTTTGGATACACATATGTGTACAGGTATATCTCTACATGTGTGTAAACACATGTGAAAACCAAGAAGACAACTACTGGTGCTGTTTCTCAGGCACTAACCACCCTGGTTTTTGAGACATGATCTCCCAATGACCTGTAAATCACCAAGTAGGCTGCTTGAGAGGCCAGTGATTACAACCTTCACCCTGTTTCTGCTTTCCCTGCCCTGGACTGAGAAGGCAAGCCTCTGTCACACTGGTTCTTTCAGTTGCCTTCCACGGGTTAAATTCAGATGCGTGTGCTGTGCAGCTAGCAATTTCCCAATGATCTCTTGTCCCTGCCTTTGTGCTGTTTCTTAAAATAGGCAATAAGATTCCAGAAGAAGAAGTTTGAAGAAAATAATCTGTTTGATCTTGGTGATCAGATAAGTAAACAATTCTCTGCTTGTTTAGTTACAAACACAAGCCAGGATCCTGGAAAATCTCTTGGGCTCATTTGCGTATTTCCTTAAGCAAAGACTTATTCTGTATTAGTAGAATAAGAACAGTCACCCCACACCCTTGACATGCTAACTCACCTTCCTTCACCTGGATATAACACATACACTTGACTTGTCTGTAAAGGGGATCCTGCTAGTTTTCTCACTGTTCTTATACAGTTTAGGTAAGTTCATGATATGATATGTGCGGATACGTGAGTTCCTACTAACTGCTGGAACAGCAAGAGTCAGGACTGCTTATTGGTCTCTTCTCAGATTGCTAATGCCAAATACTACTTATTCATCTGATTTTATTTTAATGCCATCTTATAATTAGAACTTTAAGTAATTCATGCATACCAAATACATCCAGCACTAAATAGAAAAGAAAAAGAAAGAAATCTAGGAATGGTGTCAAATGAATGTAGCCTCAGTTTCCAAGAGGCTGGTGTGAGAGGATGGTTAATATTATTAATTTATAGAGGTATAACTTCTTAAGAAGTGGTAATTTAAATAGATCCTTCACATTTGTTATATGATATACACACAAGATTCATATGTGAAACACTGTCAGCAGCATCAAGGATCAGGTATATATATTTCTTTATACAAAGGGCTACAATTCACATCCACAAATGTGTGTTGATAAAGAAGTGAACCAAATAGATTTCCAAGGCAGTGCTTCCTATATAAATTGTGATATCCACTTTGGAAATTTCTGCATCTGTTGAAGTAAGGAATCCATTTTAACTTTTATTTGTCTACTCACATAAGCAAAGAACAAATCTATGGAACACTTGTGTGCAGTGTTTAAAACGGTGTTGTTACACACGCAAGTTCAAGCATCCAAATGAGTGTCAACAGGAAGAGAAAATTGCTTTTGGGAGCATTTCCAATAAACTAATAATGCTTTGTTCTTTTGAGCTGTGACTATTAATTTTATGTATTTGTTTTGTAACACAGATTTTGGATGAATTCTTATATACTTATAAATATTTATATGAATTTAAAAGCAGCTACAGTTCACTAGTTATTTTGAAACAAGTGGTTATCTTTCAGCCTTAAATTGAATTAGAGTTAGTAGGGATGCTCATGAAATACATGACTTTTCATTTCATTGCGTTTTATTCTAATGTGTTATCCTCTATGGGGCAGGAACTCATAGAGAGGAGGGAACAAAAGCTAATTAGGGAAGCCTCCTTTTAGGAGCTCACACTGGAACTCACTGTGACTGTTCCAGATATTTCACAGAAAGTCAAGAAAAATTCAAATCCGTCTTAACATCCAAATTAACTGCTTTAAACAGGGTCTGCCATGGCCCTAATTTAAGTTATATCTGTTTAACCACAGAATTAAGGAAGGTAACATTCTTCATCTTGTCTGTCAGTGAAAGACTTTGGGATTCTGAGACTGCATGTGATTCTCTCTCACATTAGCTCTACTCACATTAGCTAGACATTCTAATTTCACTTCAGTTTGCTATAATAAAACATTCTGATAAAAATCAACTTTAAATAAAAGGAGTTTATTTGATTTGCAATTACAGTTTACAGTTCATATTTGAGGAGAAATCAAGACAGAGACTCCAGGAGCTAGTAACATCATATCTACATTCCAAAGCATAGAGAAGTAAATCCAATCATGTTTCCAACTTTCTTGCTCAGCTAACTTTCTTCATCTTCAATAGTTTAGGATCCTATCTAGGAAATGGTGCTACCCACAATAGGCTGAGTCTTTCTTCATCAATAAACAATCAAGGCAATCATCCACAGCCATGCCCATAGGACTACTGATCCAGAGAATTCATCACCTGAAACTCTTTTCCTAGAGTGATAGTCATGTTGGTAGCTAGTCTAACCATTATACATGGGGAAGACTTTTTGCCGAGGATATTTACTTTGCTAGAATTATAAGCAACTATGAATATATTCTAATACTATGTACTATTATGTTTTAAATCTCATTATAGTGGCAGCAATGGTGGAAGGAATAGACGGAGACTCAAAGCAATGAACTCCACATTGTGTTTTACATCAGTATCTCAGGATACATCTACTCAGGCCTTCTACCATGCGGCTGAAATATTTAGCTAGTGATCCTGCTCTGAACTAGACAATCAGCTAAAAACACCAGCATATCAGCATTTAAGATATCCAAAGTCATGGTTGGAGGATGTAGTCATTTTTATCAGCTGGAATTCTAGAATGTAACTAAAAATTCTTCTCTGCATATCTAGGTTAGTAAAAATTTAGAAATGAAAGAAATCACTTTGTAGATGTAACATTTCTGTGTAAAACTGTTTGATGTGATTGAACTATAAGCACAAGAAGGCATATCACCCTTATAACATACTGGTAGAGTTTGTGATTTTAAAGATATCATTAAGGTACATGTGATTAAATGTGTACTAAAATTACTTTGATTCAAAGAGCAATTATTAACATTAATTACTCCATAATTTTAAGAGATTCATATCATGTGCTTAATTTTATGATTTTGATTATGACAACTTTTAAACATTAATATTTTATCTTTTCTTAATTTGTCTAAATAACAAAATAGCATTTTTCATTCTTGGCAAGGTTAATTTCATCTCTCTGTGAACATTTGTAATCTTGTCTTAAATTACAGTGCAGTGTAAAATAAGAATGGTTGCTAATTTTTTTTCAAATATGACTGCCCAACAGATTTTGAAAGATATAGGAGAAGTGAGAAGAAATTTTCCTGGAGTAAGGGTCATTGTTGTCTTTAGCCTGTACAGAAACTGGGTGTTTCCAAAGGCAGCATTTGCAAGGATATAAAGCACAACCATCAACAGATTGTGTCTTAGTTATTCTTAGTAGAAACATATGTGTTATCAAAATCTGCCAAGAAATAATTTGCATAGTTTTCTATGGGAAACTGGAACCGTTGATTTCCTATTGTGAAACAACACAGCAAAACCGAAAAGATTAAGATGAACATAAGCTGAATAAAAACTTTATTTCAAAAGTACATTAGTTGATATTTTCAAATTATGTTTGGTGCTTCAAAACAGCAGAAATTTAAAAATAAATGAACAGTCCTCGATAATTTTGGGCATAGGGTACTAACTAAAGACATAAAAATAAAATATGATTTATTTTCTAGTTAAGTATTGGATACAAAATACATACATTTTTGGGCATTAAACACTCACTTTAAAATTTTTATGTATATATAGTAGGTATGATTATTTGAAGCATTTGTGTAATGTGTTAGTTAACATTTATAACTTCTGGAATAGTTTTGGTTTGAATGTTTGATTAGCAGCCTAGTGATTATGCATATAGATGCAGTGTCATGTGATTTCAATGCATGTTTGAAGAATTTACTGACCAAATAAGATGATTAATATTTTCATTTTCTTTTTAAAATAAACTCTTTTACATCTGTCCATTATAGAATTATTAAATAAAATTAATTAACTTCAACTAATTATCTTTTAGCCTATGTGGTAAAAACATTAAAAAGAACTACTCTCTGCATTTTCAGTGATGATTATGTACAATTAAATATAGAAAAGTATAACAACGTCAGAAATTGTAATGTGTTAATATTAATTTTAAGTTTAACTTGATTAAAGGTTTATTTAAGGTTTTGCAATTTCTTGATAATTGCAGACTCAACTTCCAGTTCAAATTTATACACAACTAAGTACCTATAAGAACCCTGTTTATTTTATTAACCCAATCTTCTCTAAGAAATAAATATAACACTCACTTCAACAGCAGAATCTGATGTTCAGTCTAATCAAGTGCCTCCACAATGGTATACAAGGCCAGAGGAAAGCATGAGAACAACATTTTCTGTTTCACATATCTCTGGTTTTCAATGATATATAAAATCTATTAAGTTAAAACACTGATAAATACATACTGGCATGAGAATTTTATAGAAATTTTCTTCTTTAGTATTTTCTTGTTTAGTATTTTCTGTTTCGTTGAACTCTAATGAGTGTGTATATACTATCAAATCAGAAACCAGAGTTAAAAATCTAAAATAATAAGTGCAACTTTTCTAGCTCTTTTTTTTAATTACTGGCTGAAAAGTATAAAATATTATAAATTACATAGATATATTTTACTTCATTACATTACTAGCAAAATATAATTA